CTTGAGGGACATGAAAGGCCCAACTCTGGTGAAGGGTGACTCCCAGGGGCCAGTAGGAGAGGAAGAAAGGGGAAAGATATACAAGAGGATCAGATGCACCAGATACAGAGCACAAATCCCAAGGCACTATATCCCTACAGGTCCTCAAAAACCTGGATGTCTCTGGAAACATGACTGAAATGGCACGATGCATACTACATGTGTCTTGGAACTGGCTGTGGCTGACCCTCTATCTCTTGCCTCCACAATTCAGCTTCTCTGGAAATGCTCAGGCTCCTTCAAAGAAATGTGAAGATCTGCATGACCTGAGATTATAGTACATGCCCACACATTCACACACCCATTTGTGCATACATGTACACACACACACACACACACACACACACACAGAGCCTGGCTCCCATAGAGGCAGCACTGCAATGAAAATTCACATTCCTAGAGTGAACCAGTGTACCCAGCAAATAGAAGCGCGCCTGGGCGGGAGTGGAGGGGTGGACTTACCTATGAAAAGACCAAGGAGGAGCAAGAACCATGGCAGAGAATAAACCATATAGTGCACCCGCAGAATGACTTGTCACATGGCAGCTGATGGACTATGTGTGCATAAATGTCAGCCTACTACCAGTTCCTGTTTTTAGTGTCACTACTTTAATCACATGTAGTTTATGAATCACAAGCTATGAAGATGATGGGACACAAACAAAAGAAGGGTGACAAGCACCTGAGCGAGCTACTTAAAAGCCAGTGCCAGTGACATCATGGCCTTGCTTTAAACCCCTCGGGGGTCTACCACCCCAACAAGGCTAAAGAAGTCTGGGATTGGCCAGGCACGGTGGCTCACGCCTATAATCCCAGCACTTTGGCAGGCCGAGGTGTGTGGATCACGAGGTCAAGAGATCGAGACCATCCTGGTCAACAAGGTGAAACCCTGTCTCTACTAAAAATACAAAAATTATCTAGGCATGATGGTGCGCACCTGTAGTCCCAGCTACTCAGGAGGCTGAGGCAGGAGAATTGCTTGAACTCAGGAGGCAGAGGTTGCGGTGAGCAGAGATCACACCATTGCACTCCAGCTTGGGTAACAAGAGCAAAACTCCATCTCAAAAAAAAAAAAAAAGAAGTCTGGGATCAAAGTCCTTATGGACAAGGACCTTCATCATTGACTTGTGTCTTGTCCACCTACCTGGCCATACTCTCTGTCACCAAGTCTCACAGCTTGGTCTCCAGTCACCACAGACTTCTTCTAAAGCAGTCCCCTTACAATTTCTCATCATTTATATAAATGCAGCCCTACTTCCCAGGCCATCTTACCTCACCTACCTCATCCTAACACCCTCCCATTGCCCATCTCAAGTCATCACCACCTTGGGAAAGGCCTCCTGAAGCCCAGGCTAGAATGGTGCTAGGACATCCATCCCCCCTTGCTGTTGGACATCCGGCCTGTGGTTATGGGTCAGGACACTTGTACCACCAGTCTCCCAAGTCTCATGCCTTCCAACTGGGGCCGGGACCTACACCATCAGCTTCCCCAACACTCTAGCTTGCAGTCGTCAGATCATGGGACCTCTCAGCCTCCATAATCATGTGAGCCAATTCCTATTAAAAGGAAACAAATATATATTCAAGGTACGATTTCTCTGAAGATCCCTGGCTAATACAACTGCCTATGGCATTTAACACTTGAAATAATCTCTGCTCCGGGATGCCAGGACGCTGTTCTCCCAGGTTCTCCTCGTTCCTTTACTCAGCGCACATTTGTTGAGTTCCTGCTAGGTGCCACAAAGGCTCTGTGCTAAGGACTGGGGATATAGAGATGAAAGGAAGGGTCTGCAGCCATGTTGCCCACAGTCTAGTGGGAAAGAAAAGTATGTCAATAAAAAATAAAGTAGGGCCAGGCGCGGTGGCTCGAGCCTGTAATCCCAGCACTTTGGGAGGCCAAGGCGACTGGATCACGAGGTCAAGAGATTGAGACCATCCTGGTCAACATGGTGAAACCCTGTCCGCACTAAAAATACAAAAATTAGCTGAGCATGGTGGCACACGTCTGTAGTCCCAGCTACTCGGGAGGCTGAGGCAGGAGAATTGCTTGAACCCAGAAGGCGGAGGTTGTGGTGAGCCGAGGTCGTGCCATTGCACTCCAGCCTGGGTGACAACAGCGAAACTCCGTTTCAAAAAAATAAAATTAAATTAAAATAAAAGGCTGGTCTCATAGCCTATATCCCTAGATTCCTCTTGGACACTGTGACATTCCCTAATTCTTCCCTCTACTGTGGCTGCAGCCCTTGATTTGAGTTGCATTTCTTTAGCTCCTAAGATATATCTGTCTTTCCATCTAAGTGTAAAAAGCTTTGAGCTCATCAGCATTCTATAGTCTTTCATATTCTTCCAATCCGTCAATACAATATTAAAAATAAAGTCCGACAAATGCAGTTGTGTAAAATGCAGGGTCATATTGCCCAGTGAATGAAGGGCTGGTTGGGGCTGGCGGTGAAGCAACACAGCTGAGTTTGGGGTTGTGGCTGCCAGACCCAAATCTCAACCCAGGCTGGAGTCTGATGCTGCCTGGAGGCAATGCCCAGTTGACAGGGGTGATTCTGGACCTGTAGCTGGCTGGACTCCCAGGACAATAGAAGGGATTTCAAAAATTTTCCAGTCATTCACACCCATTTGCTGGGCTGGTGAAGGCTACTGAGAAGGAAAACACTGGTGATGCTGGGGCCAACTTCACTGGAGGTTGCTCCCTGATTCCCAACACTAGGCGCTTTGCCTCCCTGTCCTGATGAGAATATTAGCCCTCTCCATGTGAGGACAGGGCACACAACAAACACTTTGTACCAAAATTTATATTAATGTAGGTTTTCCTATAGTTAAATGATAATACTTCAATTGGATTCTGCAAAAGTATCATAAGACTGTGTCCTCCTATGGTCACAGCTTCAAAGGAGGCCATTCTAGTGATGTTACCTCCCTAAATCTCAGTGTCCCCATTTCTAAAATGGAGATAATCCGAGTATAATCCAAATAGGGTTGAATGTAGGATTAAAGGAGAAAACATATGTAAAGTTCTAAACACAAAGCCTTACTCAGCGTAATTACCCAATAAATGTTAGTGATGATTTTTATTATCACCAGTCTCCAAATTCCCGCCTGCCTTTGTCCTCGCCTCCCACGCAGGCTGTTTCTGCTCTCATGCTCCGTACCCAGAGTCTTTCAGTAGCTTCCTCACCCCAGCCTCATCCCTTCACCCATTCTCCCTCCACTCTGTAGCTCGAGGAAGCTTCCTACTCCTACCAGATCCCTGTTTCCTTTAGCTTGGTAACAGGATGCTCTATCTGTGCTCTGGTAACGTCTCCTGTCTGTATGTCCTGCAATCCCTTCTAGACAGCCCATGTTCTAGTCACAGGACCAAGACTAGAGTGAAATAAGACAGGCTCCTAGTGCATAAAATTTAAAGATTTTCAAGATTCTGTTACTTTCAAGATTGTGCAACATCAGATCATGACCAGCCTCTAAAGATGCTTTCCTGGGCAGAAGCGTGTTACCCTAATGGTTCCTCTCTCTCTCCCTTCTTCCTTTGAACCCAGACTTCCTGGGTTCAAGTCCTTACCAACTATAAAACTTATAGTAAGCTATTTAACCCCTCTGGACCTCAGTTTTCTCGTTTATAAAATGGGAGTGATTAAATATATCTCATAAAACTATTATAAGATCAAATGAGTGAATGTGCTAAAGTGTCAGAAGACAGCCTAGCACTCTGTGGCTCTCACTGAATATTAGCTAAAAACACACACTCTGCCAGCCTCAAGCTTTCCTACCAAGTCCTCTTCATGTTACAGCTTAAGTAAACCGATGCCCTGCAGCAACAAACTACAGCATGGCCAGCTACGACACTACTGACAAGAAGAAGGAGAAAGTTTCCCAAGTCAGGATGGAGGGAATAATGCTGTCCTCCAGCCTGCGTTTTGTACTCAGTCAACTCCACACTGTCACATACAATGTCCACCCCCACTGCAGTCTCCCTGATGCCTTTTTCCATATAAGAAGTCCTTCACTGCATGTGACAGAAAGCCAGCACAAACTGCCTTGAGCAAAACAGAAAATGTATTGGGTGACTGTATTGGTTATCTGTTGCTTTATAACAAATTGCCCCAAACTTCACAGCTAAAAACAATAAGCATTTTTGATGAAAAATAAAACATTGAAAAAAAAATTTAAAGACCAAACATTTATTATCTCACAATTTCTCTGGGCGTGGCTTAGCTGGGTCTCTCTGGCTTAAGGTATTCAGAAAGCTACAGTCACGGTGTCAGCCAGGGCTGTGGTCATTTCAAGGCCCTCCTGGGGAGGATCCACTTCCAGTGTCACTCGTGGTTCTTGGCCAGCCTCAGTCCTTGTGGACTGTTGGCCAGAGGAATCAGCTCCTCACTGAGTGTTGGCTGGAGGCTTCCCTCTGTTATTTGCTTTGGAATGCTCTCCCTAAAGTATCTCACAAAATAATGTCCACTCCCCTCAGAGTAAGGTAGGGAAAGAGAGATAGTAGGAAGAGAGAGAGGGAGAGAGGGCAAGAGAAAGAGAGAGAAAGAGAGCATTTGTACACACATGCTAGCCCAAGATGGAAGTCACAGGTTTTTTGAGACCAATAAATGACATCCTAGTACCTCTGCCACATTCTATTCACTTAAAGCAAGTCACTAAATCCAGGCCACACTCAAGAAGGGGTAATTACACAGAGGCATGAATGCCAGGAGGTAGAGATCTTTAGCAATCAACTTTAGGGGCCAATTTTAGAACCCAAGTCCCTTGATACAAAAGCAAGTGATGCTCCACATTGGTCACAAACAAGACCCTGGATAGCCTTGGGACCTCTTCCTGCCTATGCAGACGGAAGAGTCAGTGGTGGCTGGTATAAACAACCCTCCCTCTGACACACACACAGTTGCGGAAGCTGTGATAAGTGCATCCTCCTTCAGTCTGAGATCTGAAAATAGATTGTCATGGTGGCCTCAAAGAGTCACACAGATGACTGGGCTCCTGGGCCTTTCTACAATAAGCCACAGAGGAGTCAGCTGCAAATATTCTCTTCTGTTCTACGGACCTCTCTCCTCTTCCTGCTCCTGGGTAAGTCCACTTTATGGCCACCACTGCTTGCTACTGGTGTTCTGAGGCTGGTCACATTCTCTGTCTGGGAGATTCTTGTTGCTAAAATCAGGAAACAGGCCAGGCGAGTGGCTCACACCTGTAATCCCAGCACTTTGGGCGGCTGAAGTAGGTGGATCACTAGGTCAGGAGATCAAGGCCATCCTGGCCAATATGGTGAAATTCCGTCTCTAAAATACAAAAAATTAGCCAGGCATGGTGGCATGTACTGGTAGTCCCAGCTACTCAGGAGGCTGAAGCAGGAAAATCACTTGAACCCAGGAGGCAGAGGTTGCAGAGAACTGAGATTGCGCCACTACACTCCAGCCTGGTGACAGAACAAAACTCCATCTAAAAAAAAAAAAAAATCAGGAAGCTCCTCTCCTTGCGGTAAATTACTCCACGTGTGCATATTCATGTACCATGAGGGGGTGACACTCTAGCTCCAGTCTCAAATAACTCTGGGCTCAAACTGCATTTCTCTCACCCTCACTTTCCTAACAAATGCCAAGTATATAATGGAAATGGTTACCAATGGCTAGGTTAAAAAAAAAAAAAGAAAGAAATGCCAAGTACATAAAGAGTTTGTTCCCTATATAGTGTAATAAAACCCACAGAAGGATCCAGGAAAATCCCCTGATGAGAGGCCACCTAGCAATTTCCTAGGAATGGAGAGAACTCCTGGAGTGTCTTTCTACATATCCTGCCTTGGTTATCACCTTTGCTGGCTTTATTACTGAGGCTTCACTGGGGACCTGCAGGTGGTTGGGTGACCCTGAGCAAGGTGGCGTCTACCTGAATATCCTTTTCTCCTCAACTTCTTCCTCCCTATCAAGGCCCAACTCCTGGGAAACATCTCTCCCATACACGGTGCAGACCCCCACTGTCCAGCAGGCAGAGCCAATCCAGTAGCTCAGAGAGGATCTCAGCCACCTGAGACTGTGGCAGCTGTTGTCCTTCTGTGGTCCCACTTTCCCCAGGGTTTCAGGGAAGATGGTACAGGTAGCACTAGAGATCTGAGAGCAGTGGGGTTGGCTGTTGGTGCCTGAGGGGAGCTCTAGAGAAACTCCTGGACGCAGATACGGGTGAATGAGAAACCCAGACCTCAGAGCTGAGGTTTAGTCTGACCTCTCTTCACTTTCCATTTTATCTGGGCTTATCAAAAAAATGCAGAAAGCAGCAGGGCTATTTATGTCTACATCTGACCTTTGGGGTGTTCCTTGGTTGCATTGAGCAAACCTGAAATAAGCAACACTCCAGGTCCCCCAAGCCTCAAGTGATTAATGCAGTGAATTGCAAACAGTTCAGAGCAGTCATCTCCTTCAGTCTGGCTCCAGTGATTAGGATGACCTCAAATCTCACTCTTTTGGTCTAAAAGGATGATGCTTTTGTGTCTCCAGAGAGTTGTTTCAGGAACTTAAACAGCAGGCAAGTGAAAAGACCCCTCTCACTTTAGTGTCAGGAACATCTGAAATTAAATCATTGCTCCATCACTTATTAGTGGTGTGAGCCTCTATTTCTTAAGCGTAAAATACAGTTAGGATGCATCACGCAACACTCTGACAGATTGTGGATGATATATATAAAGTGATTGGCACATAGTTGGCAGAAGCTGTAATTGCTATTATGATAATTACCATTATATGCATTATTTGGAAACTATTAAGAGATGCGTGAGTCAAATTCAGTTATTACAATCTTTGAACACTGTTTTATTATTTGTCCTATGGTGCAATTCAAAATAAAATGACTGGTACTGGGGAACTGTCACTGTACTTACTGGGAGCTACATAGCACTGTTTTCTGCGGCAAGATTTGCCCTGTGAGGCCCACATCCTGTCCCCCCCACTGACAGTCTGTGAGGCCTTGTTTATGGTTTCTGTCTGATGTAAGAAAATCTGAGACAAAACAAGTCATATGCACTCAGCCAAGGCCCAGCAGCTCCTCGGCTTCCAGAATAGAGATGGGCATTACTCCTGGCCTCCCTACTCCTGCGGCACCATGGACATAGGGTTTGGACTCTGTAACTGATCAACCCTGTAATCTCAGGGAAGTGGCTCTAAATTTCAGCTCCTCATCTGTAAAAAGAAGCTAATTATAGTAGTTATTAGGATTAAATGAGATAATTTACATACTGTACCTAATGCACACATAGCAATCACAAGCAGTGTCTTCTAGATGGGAAGAGCTCTCTTTTAGAAAACTTCAAATTAGCCTCACATCAACTCAGTCTGAATCTGCCCAAAGAATCCACCCAACCCAACCTTCTCACATCCAGGATCCCCAGCTCTGCATGCTCCGTAGCTGCCTCTCCGCAAGGTGCAAGTAATTGGCTGATGGAGGTCTAAGCAAAGAATCCTCATGACCTGTCACAAGCAGCCTCTCTCCTCCTTGTGTCTGCACATTCTGTACCTCTGGGTTTTCAGAGTTTGCTTCAGCCTTCTTCCACTTCTCCAGGCTGTGCTTATGCTCCTTTTTTTCTCTCTAACAATTTCTACTTATTTTCCCACCCAGAATTCCTGCTGGAGTCTGGATCCCAAACCCATCTGATTTGGTCTAGAATTTTCAGAGTGCTCTCCAGAGCCTCAGAAGCCCTGGAAATCCAAGCTGGGGTCACCCAGAAGATACCCACAGGCTCCCTACAAGAAAATTAGCAGCCTTGGACAAATGCCAGCTTCCTAGATGCCTTGGTAACAATGTTTATCAGGAATAAGACCTTGCCTAAGATGAGGAAATCAGGAACTGTATTGGTACTACCAGCTATTCTCACCCCCAAACCTGGCCAAAGTCAGTCTAAGATCCCATGGACAATGAGGGGGAAAGAAGGGTAAGGTAGAGGTAGGAGAGGCTCCTTTAGTTCCCAACACTGCTATGAGAATTCTCAAACATTCAGAAAAGTTGGAGCATTTACAGTGAACATTCATATGCCTACTACCTAGGTTCCAACACTAATGTTTCATTTTGCTTGCTTTATCACTCATCTGCCCATCTAGCCATCCCTCTGACCATCCATCTATTTACCTTATTTTAAAAATATGCTCCTTTTCACTTCATTGGCCATTCACAATTTGCAGCAACCTGCTTTCATTTAATTTTTACTATATCCCTTGAAGAAAATGGTGCAGGCATGAGCATTTCAATCTCTTAGATAAGTAAACTGATTCTCAGAAAAATTCAGAAATGTACCCAAAGTCACAAGGCTAATTCCCCTACTGGAACAGAAACCAGAAGATCTGTTTCACAAATTGTTGTAGCTACTTTTAAGGGAGTCAGTGTTTAGAGAATGGAGGAATGAATGACAAGAATCTCATTTCATTTCTCAGCATCTGACATTTGTGCCCAATGTATGTTCACACAGTGAAAGAAGGAAGGCTAGCTCAAGGAGTCTAGCTGCTCCTCCAAGTCCTTCTTCTGTCTCTGCAGGACTAAGAGCCTCTGGAGAGGACTCAGCCCCAAGAGTGGTGTCAGGGATCCTAGGGGGTTCTGTGACTCTCCCACTAAACATCTCAGTAGACACAGACATTGAGAACGTCGCCTGGAATGGTCCCAAAAATGCTCTCGCTTTTGCAAATCCCAAAGATGTAATCCTTATGGACAAAAGCTACCAGGGCCGACTAAGCATCACCAAATGGAGTTACTCCCTGTACATCAGCAATCTGACTCTGAACGATGCAGGCTCCTACAAAGCCCAGATAAACAAAAAGAATTCTAAAGTCACCACTAAGGAAGAATTTACCCTGCTCATCTTTGGTAAGTTCCAGAGAGCTTCTGTGTTTTGATCTTTTCTTTCCCTTATGTGTGCAAATGTTTGGGGTATGTCTGAAATTTTGTTATATGTATATAGGGCACACTGATGAAGTCAGGGTTTTCCATGTGTCTACTGCCTGAGTACAATACATTCTTAAGTACAATCACCCTACTCTGCTATCAAAAATTGAATTTATTCTATCTTACTGTATGTTTGTACCCTTTAACCCACTCTCCTCATCATCCCCCCAACCACCCACGCCCTACACTGACCCTTCCCAGTCTCTGGTATCTATCTTTCCACCATCTACCTCCATATGATCAAATTTTTGTACTCACATATAAGTGAGAACATGTGATATGTGTCTTTTTGTGCCTGACTTACTTCACCTAAGAGAGTGACCTAAAGTTTCACCCATGTTGCTGCAAAAGACACAATTTCATTCTTTTTACTGATTGTTAAGTTTTTAAAATATATTTAGAGCACACAAGTGTAGATTTTTAATTTCCAACTTAATTTCTTTGTTGACCCAATGGTCAGGAGCACGTTGTTTAATTTCCATGTGTTTGTATCATTTCATTTTATTCCATTGGAATTGAAGATATTTGATATGATTTCAGTGTTGTGGCCTAACATACAGTTTATCCTGGAGAATGCTTCATTTACTAATGAAAAGAATATATAATCTGCAGTTGTTTGACAGAATGTTCTGTAAATATGTTAGGTCCATTTGGTGTAAACTCCAATTTAAATCCAATGTTTCTTTGTTGATTTTTTTCTGTCTAGAAGCTCTGTCTAATGCTGAGAGTAGAGTGAAGTCCTCCTAAATATACTTAGAGGGTACAAGTGTAGATTTTTATTATTATTCTATTGTGCTCGTTCTCTCTCTCTCTCTCTCTCTCTCTCTCTCTCTCTCTCTCTCTGATAATATTGCTTTATGAATCTAGGTGCTCCAGTGTTGGGTGTATATACATTTAGAATTGTTATATCCTCTTGCTGGATTGGTCCCTTCATCATTATATAATAGCATTGTCTTTTTTTTTTTTTTAGACTTAAAGTCAGTTTATCTGATCTAAATATAGCTACTCCTGCTTGCTTTTGGTTTCCATTTACATGAAATTTTTTTTCTATTTCTTTACTTTCAGGCTATATGTCTTTACTGTTAAGGTGATTAGCATATAGATGGATTATATTTTTAAATCTATTCAACCATTCTATATTTTTTAAATGGAGAATTTAATCAATTTACATTCAAAGTTATTATTGATATGTGAAGCTTTTTCCTGTATACTGTTGTTTCCTGGTTGTCTCATATATTCTTTGTTTCTTTCTCTCTTATTGTTTGTCACTGTGGTTTGGTGGGTATCCGTAGTGGCATCATTCAAGTCCTTTCTCTTCATACTTTGTGTGATTGCTTTACAAATGAGTTTTATACTTCTGTGTGTTTCCATCATGGTAAATGTCATCTTTTGCTTCCAGGTTTAGGACTCCCTCGAGCATTTCTTGTAGGACCCTGTCTAGTGGCAACAAATTCAGCATTTGCTTGTCTGGGAAATGCTATTTCTCCTTTTTTATAAAGAATAATTTTCCTGGATGTATAGTATCCTTGGCTGACACTTTGAATATCTTATTCCATTCTCTTTTGACCTGCAAAGTTTCTGCTGAGAGATCCACCATTAGTCTGATGGGCTTTTCTGTATAGGTGGCTAGATGTTTTCCTCTTACTGTTTTTATAATTTGCTTTGACTCTAGACAGTTTGACTATAATGTGCCATGGAGACCCTTTTGCATTGTATTTTCCTGGGAATCACTAAGCCTCCTGTGTCTGGATGTCTAAATCTCTTGCTAGGCATGGGGAGTTTTTATCTATTATCTCATTAAATACATTTTCTAATCAGTTATTTGTCTCTTTGCCCTCAGGGATAGAAATAATTTGAATGTTTTATCACTTTATGTTGTCCCAAATGTAACAAAGGTTTGGCTCATTCTTTATTCTTATTTTTTTATTTTTTTGTTTGGCTGGATTCTTTCAAAAGACCTCTCTTCAAGTTGTGAGATTCTTTCTTCTGCCTAATCTAGTCTATCATTGAAGCTTTCAAATATATTTTGTATTTCCTTCAATGAATTCTTCAATTCCAGACTTTCCATTTATTCTGTTTTTTAAATATCTATCTCTTTGGTTAATTAAATTATCATTCATATCCAGAATTGTTTTTCTGATTTCTTTGCACTGTTTTTAAGAAATCTCTTGTATCTCACTGAGCTTCTTTAAAATCAATGTTTTGAATTCTTTACCTGGAATTTCAAAAATTTCTTTTTGGTTAAGATCTATTGCTGGAGAATTATTTTGCTCCTTTGAAGGTGTCATATTTCCTTCCTTTTTCATGTTTCTCATGTCCTTACATTGATATCTTGCATCTGGTGTAGCTGTACCTTCTTCCTATTTTTGAATTTACTTTCATGGATAAGTCTTTTTCCTGAAAATGCATCTATTGTGTTGTTGGGGAAGGGCACTCTGGTTTTGATTCTGGGTGTGTGGAGTAGTATAGTCTCTCTATGATTTATTTGGCTGTAAATATAACATTAGTGTGATCTGTTATTTCCTCAGTGGGTCAGGGTGTGATTATTAATAGAGGCTGTGCTGGGGATTTGTTGGGAAACAGCCCAGCCCTGTGCATGGTGCTCCATCTCCTGGCAGTAACGAGGGAGCGAGAAAAGAAATAAAGACAAAGAAACAAGAATAGAATTTTGCAGCATGGTTCCAGGGGTCCAATGCCCTCTCACCATTAGCAATGAGCTCTGGGCTTCATGCGCTTTTATTGGGTGCATTATCTTATTAATCTTGCAGAGCTGTGGGGAGGGAGTTGAGGAGGAAGATAGCCAGAGGAAGAGCATGTGTCTGCAGCATTCAATAGCAAACATGGTTCTCCTAAGAAATGCTAAGTCAGGACACTGAGATTTTACCACCCATTGTCTATCCAGGTGTTTTGGCAAGAGAGGTGCAGTCATAAGGTGCCATAAGGTCTGACCATACATAATGCATTAAGGGGCTTTTCTTTCCCAAGCATTATGGACACAGAGCAATTGGAATTGCTCCGTATTCTGAGAACATAGGCAGAGTCTGTGGTGGTCCCATGTTCTCTGCCCTATAAGGCTTTCCAGCCTTACCAGCTCCCATCTGCAAAGACCCGCCCAAGTCTTGTGAGCAGAGGTTGCATTACTTCCCAGAGTCTTTTGCATAAGCTCCCTGAGATCCTCACACAAACTCTATGTTGGAAAGAGCTGTGGGACCAAAGCAGTTGTTTCTGCTTTGCAGCCACACCGCAGTGTTCCGCAGTTGTAGGGCGCTCTCAGATGGTCTCCTGTTACCACTTCACCTCTGCTTTTATTTCACTACACCATAGTTTGAATATGATCCGTAGCACAAATCTCTGTGTATAAAAAGCAAAGCAAGCTTGTACTCATTTAACTATAAGTAACACAGTTCTGCCCCTGGCCATCTCTTCCCGTATCTCCTCCCTTCTTTTTAGCTAAGAGGGTGAAAGTGATTATGGCTTGTTTGTGCCTTTGTCTCTTTGAAAATTTCTGCTGCATTTGTAGATTAAAAACAGGCAGAATAAACAGACACCTGCTAAAACAAAATTAGCAATTGTGGATCCATCAAGAGTTTTAACCAACTTGATAGGATTTATTTGCAGCTCCTTCCAATATGTCAGCTGCAGGTAAAACATTTAAATGAGCCTGGGAGGCCTGAAAAATCTGTTCGTTTAATTTGGCAATATCCAACGTTGTTCTCCTTACTTGTTCCCAGTGATGTTCATCAGAATTTTAAGTATGAGGGGTAGGGCTGGGCCCGGTGGCTCAAGCCTGTAATCCTAGCACTTTGGGAGGCCAAGGCGGGTGGATCATGAGGTCAAGAGATCCAGACCATCCTGGTCAAACTGGTGAAACCCCGTCTCTACTAAAGATACAAAAAATTAGCCAGGCATGGTGACACGTGCCTGTAATCCCAGCTACTCAGGAGGCTGAGGCAGGAGAATTGCCTGAACCCAGGAGGCGGAGGTTGCTGTGAGCCGAGATCGCACCATTGCACTCCAGCCTGGGTAACAAGAGCGAAACTCCGTCTCAAAAAATAAATAAATAAATAAGTATGAGGGGTAATACAATAATCAGATGTGTTCCAATCATAATTCAACTGTAATCTCTGTTCTAAGCTCATTATCTGATCTCCCATCCAAATTACAGTTTGTGGAAGATTATTAATTTGGTTTGCCAATTTTTGATTAATTCTTGTTTGAGAATTCGAAAGCCTGGAGGAACTTTTCTGGCAAACATCCATCCATATAGTGGGCAGTTTGAGCTGACATGTGCAGAGCTACTCTAGCTCCAGCGGTAGCTGCCATGGCTATAATTCCCATGACAGCAGCAATCAGCATAAATATGAATCTTTTTGAAAGATTCAAGACTCCTTTTAGTACCTTTGTGATAATATGTCCTGAAGGAGAGGTTTTCATGGTCAGTTAATAGTTACTGGAGTCCACACTCCTTCTCTGGCTCTGACTAGTAAAATACTATTTTCAAGATTAAATATTAAATTAGGGCGGGCGTGGTGGCTCACGCCTGTAATCCCAGCACTTTGGGAGGCCGAGGCAGGTGGATCACGAAGTTAAGAGATCGAGACCATCCTGGTCAACATGCTGAAACCCTGTCTCTACTAAAAATACAAAAAATTAGCTGGGCATGGTGGCGCACGCCTGTAATCCCAGCTACTCAGGAGGCTAAGGCAGGTGGAGGTTGCAGTGAGCTGAGATCACGCCATTGCACTCCAACCTGGGTAACAAGAGCGAAACTCGGTCTCAAAAAAAAAAAATTAATGTTGAATTAATGCAAGTAAACAGTTTACAATTTTTACAGGTAAGGGTTTGAGTATCAGTCCTAATGCTCACATTTTCTACTACCAACACACAGGGTGGCTTATCACAACTTAGAAATGGAATCGTTC